GAATGCTTGACGAGATTTAATGAAGAGTTGGAAGTATTGTTGTACTATGGTTCTTCCAATCAAAGAATAGAACACTGTAACAAACCTGGCAAAGGCAAGTGCTATTTTTACTAATCAAGATGGCCGGCGGTCGGAGGTTTTCCGATCAAATTTCTGTTTTTCCGACCAAATGCTGAAATGATCGGAAATTTTGTCCGGACAAATTTTGACTCGGGAGTCAACAACCTGGAAGATAAAGAATACGTTTCCTCAAAGTTTTGAGCAAAGCCCAGGCCCTTCATCAGGCTGATCAAATAAGCTTACACAAGTTGTATGATTGACTCTCTTGACGAAAGTCCTGAGCTCAAAACGTCTAGGAAACGTATTCTTGTACCATCCCACACATCGTGTAATCCACCTTCTCAGTTTGAAGTTGTTTCATAGTTACCATTTTAATTAAATTAATTTATCATTAACTGGCTCTATAACTAATAAGGAATTCAGAATAAAACACTAGTAGGGTGATTTACTGTTCACTTTACTCTGCAACGGAGGGGGTCAAACGAAACTAAAAAACTTCCGACGAAATTTGAAAATTTCTGGTCAAATTTCATTTTGCTCAGAAGTTTTGCCGGACAAATTTTAAAATTATTTCAGGCTCTGACTATCATCTTTTTCATTTGGCATGAACTGTAACAACTTATGGATCATGCAATGCATCTACAGAAAGTGGATTAAGTGGTCCAATTCAGTACTGGTTCACTTGATGTATTGCGGTACACTAATTTTTTTTGTATTTTTTTACAGTTGCCAAGGTGATCCATTTAATGAAAAACTTGCATTTGCTGTTTGGAAACACTAATGTTAAGTCTGGAAAATCCTCAAAAAAAGTTGCAGAATTAATTTTTCTGATAAAGGTGAGCCTTTGTTCATGAGTTGATTGTTTTTGTCACCAAGCTGAAGCATGCAAGACTTTTACATTTAAGGAAAGTGTGATGTCATGCTTGCATAACATCCTTTTCATTTACAAACACAAAATGACAATGGATGGCATAAAATGGTAATATAATTATAGACAATACTTTCGAGAATATTCTTCAACTGGCTCAACTTAAAAAAAAAAACACTTAAAATATAAGTTTGAGTGTCAGGCCTGGATAAAGTATTTTCCTTCCTGGAAGCATAAACCCAAAATACAAATTTCCTGCCATGCTACTTCAGAATTTCCTGTGAGACTTTTTTATTTATAGTTAAGACTACAGAAGAGAAAAACAAGCACTTAATCGCGAACATCGAATCAACAAAAATTTCCTTAACAATATAAAAAGGTTTCCTGCAAGTAATTTTTGTGAAAAATTTCCTGGCAGCGGAGCTGCCGGACATTTTCCAGCCCTGTTGAGTGTCGTCAAGTGATAAGGCTGGTCTGTTATTACATGCCTTTCTTCCACGAACAATGATGGCAGAGTTTGGTTCAATAAGAAATGAACAACTCATATGATTTTACTTTCTTTAGGATCATGAAAATCCAGAGGTTGTGTGCAGTTCAAGTCGACGACCGAACATGAAAGGTGTGCCATTGCTCTGTATAGACAAGACGTATGCATATCTGATGTGCTCAGGTAATCTCGTTTGTAAAGTTGAACTGCAGAAAGTCATGGAAGCAGCCCTTGCCTTGATTGGGCTTTTTTATCTACTGGATGTAGACTATCCTAAGGCACATGAACTGGGATTGACCATGCTGCAGAACCTGGTGTTTCAAGATCTAAGCACGCCAGATGACTTGTTCAACACGTTTCAGTCTCCAAAAAAAGCTTACCTAGACTTTCAACAGAATTCATCAGGATTTTAAGTTTGAGCAAGTACCCAGTGTGAACACATAAAGACAATGTCTAGTTTCAAATATAGAATTCATTGCCAACTACGGGTATGACTATTATACTTGGACAGTTGGACTAGTAACAATGGTCCAAATTGCATGACTTTGTTTGTTTTTGTTGAATTTGCGAAAGTTCTGTCATTTTACTATATTTTATCGTTTAATTATATATCCTGTTCTAATTCATATGGGAATGCATCTATTCTTGCATAGTAGGTAATAACATTCTTGAAAATATTATAGCTATTTGGGTTTATTTTTACAAGAAAAATATTTTTGTAACAAGTAATATATTCTTGTATCAAGTAATAATATTCTTGTTTCAAGCAATAATATTCGTGTATCAAGTAATAATATTCTTGTATCAAGTGATATTATTCTTGTATCGAGTAATAATATTCTTGTTTCAAGTAATAATATTCTTGTATCAAGTATAAAATATTCTTGTATCAAGTAATAGTATTCTTGTATCAAGGAGTAATATTCGTGTATCAAGTAATAATATTCTTGTATCAAGTGATATTATTCTTGTATCAAGTAATAATATTCTTGTATCAAGTAATCATATTCTTGTATCAAGTATAAAATATTCTTGTATCAAGTAATAATATTCTTGTATCAAGTAATATTATTCTTATATCAAGTAATTTTATTCTTGTATCAAGTAATATTATTCTTGTATCAAGTAATATATTATTCTTGTATCAAGTAATAATATTCTTGTTTCAAGTAATAATATTCTTCCATTAAGCAGTAATATTCGTGTATCAAGTAATAATATTCTTGAATCAAGTAATAATATATTCTTGTATCAAGTAATAATATTCTTCATCAAGTAATAATATTCTTGTTTCAAGGAATAATATTCTTGTTTCAAAGAATAATATTTTATTAAATATTCTTGTATCAAGCAATTATATTCTCGAGAATAATATTCTTGTCAAGAAAAATATGCTTAGTATACGGACAAGAATTTAAATGCTTGCTTTGAGCAAATTTTTGCTCAAAGCAAGCAGTTTTTTTCTTAAATCAAGAATGACAAATTTTGCTGTGAAGTGCCCATAAATATGTCTGTTTAACTGTTAACATGATCAAGCCATGCATTCAAGGGATATAAAGAGCGGCAGTAATGATTGGCTTATTCAGATAAATGCAATTTATCAATGGACTTTTTGGCGTGAAATACAATTGTTGTAATTGTATGAATGTTGTTGATTCTTTCGTCGCTATATAACAAAACTCTTAATTAATGTCCGTTACCTCAGGAAATAGTTTTGTTTCCCCTCGAATCTCAAGGTTTTCCTATACGTATTCTCATGAAACATTGAGACTCTTGCAGAAACAAAAATACAGTAACTATTTCCTTTGGCGGCAGACATTAAGTGTATATTGTTCCTGCAACGTACAGGATAAATGGATTGGCCTATTGCATCACATTGTTGACGAACATGAATGGGTCATAACAGAAGGTGACAATAATGGGAAATGTGATCATGAGCCATTTGATGGTGTTGAACGAGAACAACCTTGGCTTCAGAAAGATGATTTCAAACATACTGGCAACCTTGAATCATTCCATAACCATATCCTCATGTATGCACCCAAGCGGCATTCATATTCCTAAGTATGCTTTGTCATAAAAACTCAATTTTCAATAATTGCACATTTTATACATGTACCATTCTATTCTATTTATATCTCATAGGTTCATAGGGTACAGAGTGCGTAACCTCTTGCAAGCAATAGACTAAAACATGCATAGAGAAAGAAAGGTAGCCACAACAGCAGATGGCAAGGAGAGGTGATATAAATCGGTAAGCTGTAAAACATGGAATCTGGAATCTTGAAATCTTGGAATCCTGAAATTTTGGAATCTTATCATATACCGCAAAATATCTTATTATCAAGATATTATTATTATACTTATGCAACATATTGTTCTGCATGCGATAATATAATACTTGGTGAGTTAGCAGAACTAGCAGACCTTGCTTATATCTTATCAGTATATACTATACTTCGCAGAATTTAACATGTCCATCGTGATGCCAATACATATTACTTAATAATGTAAACGCTGTGCGCGCATCTAAATAATATCGTCGATTTATGATGATCATGAGAGCTAAAATCAAGTGCATAGCAAGATGAGCAGGCGGGAGGTAACTAAAGAAACCACATACTACAATATATATATATATATATATATATATATATATATATATATATATATGTATATATATATATATATATATATATATATATATATATATATATATATATATATATATATATATATATATATATATATATATATATATATATATATATATATATATATATATATATATATATATATATATATATATATATATATATATTAAAATTAATTATTGCTACTCAAGTTGCACGCCTTATTCAAGACCTGATCTTCAGGCAATTAATTCAGTTAGTGTTTGATTCGTCAATATTAACGGTCGCTCGCTGACGTGGAGGTTTGTCTATCGTCACCGGTTTGAATTTGCACGCGCTAAATTTTTCCTTGTGACAGCACTTTGCATAAAACTCTGATCGCGTGTTCAGTGAATTGTTTCCTTTCGCTTTCAGGATACATAATTTCTCTTCCAAACAGAGGCCACATCGCTTTCCACCAGGCGTGTACGCAGCAGCTCGTTTCAAGATGGACCACTTGATGCTGTAATTTCTTCTACTTTGCTTCAGACTCCAAACGTACTTCGAAAGCTTTGTGTCAGACGAGTGGTTGTAGAGGTTGAATGACGTTTTGTGGTTGGCGTATCTTTCTTTGAATGGGTTGGCCGTCATTCCAATATACTCCTTTGTATTTCTGTCATCAGTTGTTGTCACCGTGGCTTTATAGACAATGTTGTCTACTTTGCACTTTCCGTCTAGTGGGCATTCATCTGGTTTATGGCAGTTGCATGGGACAGGTTTTTGTGTAGGGTTTTTCTTTAACAGGCGATGGTTATGTCGGGATATTATGGTTTTGATATTCTCCATGCAGGAGTAGCTAACTTTGACTGTGTTGCGGTTAAAGCCTTTATGGAGCGGGTTGGTAGAAGGGAAATGTTTATCAATTAACTGTAGGAAATTTCGACCGACGTTAGTTTGAACTGTTTTGCTGAAGGGTGGATTAAACCAAATGATGTTTCTACGACGTCTTCGGTTGGTAGATGGCAAACTGGAGGAATTATCATAGGCCGAGTATTGCAGGGGTACATCGTAGTTACTGCGCTTAAGCGCATCTTCGTAGAATGGTGCAGCAAAATCAAAGGATGCTTGATCAGAAGAAAGCGAGGAGGTGCGTTTGCTGATTGAGGAAGGGATATGGTTGATGATAGAGGGTGGGTGGTTAGATCTATTGTCGACGTAGAGAGGGTCGTTGTTTGGTTTCCTGTAAGGTGAAAATGTTTCGTTTTTCAAGTCCAAAGTGAGGTCGAGGAAGTTGACAACATGATGGTTCACCTCTGCTGTTATCTTGAAGCCAATATTATTAAAGATAGCGTTACCCGCTCCATAAGGTCTTTAACCGCAATACAGTCAAAGTTAGCTACTCCTGCATGGAGAATATCAAAACCATAATATCCCGACATAACCATCGCCTGTTAAAGAAAAACCCTACACAAAAACCTGTCCCATGCAACTGCCATAAACCAGATGAATGCCCACTAGACGGAAAGTGCAAAGTAGACAACATTGTCTATAAAGCCACGGTGACAACAACTGATGACAGAAATACAAAGGAGTATATTGGAATGACGGCCAACCCATTCAAAGAAAGATACGCCAACCACAAAACGTCATTCAACCTCTACAACCACTCGTCTGACACAAAGCTTTCGAAGTACGTTTGGAGTCTGAAGCAAAGTAGAAGAAATTACAGCATCAAGTGGTCCATCTTGAAACGAGCTGCTGCGTACACGCCTGGTGGAAAGCGATGTGGCCTCTGTTTGGAAGAGAAATTATGTATCCTGAAAGCGAAAGGAAACAATTCACTGAACACGCGATCAGAGTTTTATGCAAAGTGCTGTCACAAGGAAAAATTTAGCGCGTGCAAATTCAAACCGGTGACGATAGACAAACCTCCGCGTCAGCGAGCGACCGTTGATATTGACGAATCAAACACTAACTGAATTAATTGCCTGAAGATCGTCTTGAATAAGGCGTGAAACTTGAGTAGCAATAATCAATTTTAAAGGTGATCTACAGTCCGTATGTAAACAAAGCCTTTGTTTACATTTTTGCGTCCAAAATATTGAGCTTTATTCGACAACTATTTATATTTTCAAGCTTCTAGAGTATAATAAATGATCAAGAAACAACAATCAGGCTTTGCAAGAACCCAAAACATAGTTAAACTGTTTGTATAAAAAAAGTGGGCTCTTTTGTGCACATGCGCAGATCGGACTGTAGATCACCTTTAAGATATATATATATATATATATATATATATATATATATATATATATATATATATATATATATATATATATATATATATATATATATATATATATATATATATATATACAGGGTGTATAAAAAAAAACTGAACAGATTTAAAATTGCTCTCAATTTCGCAAAACACCTATTTGTATCTGTTTTTTTATATATATAGCTTCTTTGGGTACTTATAATGTAAAATAATGAAAAACATTTCTCGAACTCAAATTTTGTGAACCAAGTGGGTGTGTCTTTTCCAACAAACTAAAAATGGCTCGCGCACAAAATTTAAAAGCTGCAATCATATTTTGAGTTAACAGATGGAAACTTTGTCGGGATTTTAATTACTGTACAAAATGTCAGACAATTTGGTTTAGTTTAAGACCCTTAACGATTCACGCAAAGTTACAATTTTCCCAAAAAATCAGCTATTTGCATGCTTAATTAATGCATTTGCCTAATTTGCATATGTCAGCAATATGCAAATTAGGTAAAGGCATTAATTAAGCATGCGAAAGGCTGACTTTTTAGAACAAAATGAATAGTTAAAGGGCTTAAACTAAACCAAATTGTCTGAAATTTTGTACAGTAATAAAAACCCCGACAAATTTTCCATCTATTAACTCAAAATATGATTACAGCTTTTAAATTTTGTGCGCGAGCCATTTTTAGTTTGTTGGAAAAGACACACCCCCCTGGTTCACAAAATTTGAGTTCGAGAAATTTTTTTCATTATTCTACATTATAAGTACCCA